GTTTGATAATTGGCATTTGAGAAGGCGCATTCGATGAAGGAAATTGTGTTTGAGCAACACCCGAAGGAGGAAATTGAGATGGATTGCTTCCCACTACTGGTGGTCTCATATAACCAGCTGGAGCTGCTGGTGGTGGTGGTGGCATTGCACTATATGGTTGAGTTGGTGATGTGGGAACCCCGGGGAAGCTTGGTGGAATTTGATTATTTCCTGATGTTCCGATACCGGCAATCGGTGGCCTTATACCTATAGATGGTGCTGCTAACCCTGGTGGTCCTCCCAAGACGGGCGGTGCGCCTGCTATACCTGGTGGTGCTGCTGACATTACACCTGGTGCTCCACTTGTTCCTGGAGCTCCTGTTGCAGGTGGTCTACCGAGCAATATTGCCGGTGGAGGTCCTGCTTAAAAGATCATAGATTATTTAATGATGACATTACATCTAGGTAGATCTATAAATTTAGCATATGCTTATTTATCTGGATTTGCCTGATACAATGATATGAATTTGTAGTTGATTTGAGGGATGAAGCAAAATCACTCCTTTTATAAAGATAGCCCAAATAATCGAATTTAGACTTGATTTCTTTTTGAGGGATGTTTTATAAATAAAACATCACTCTTACCTGCGAATGGTGGTCCAGGTGGTATAACTGCGGCTGCAGCTGGTGGAGGTATTGCACCAGGGTATCCATATTGAGAAGGAAATCCGGATTGGCCCGCACGTTCGTAAGCCCTTGTTATCTCATCAATAATAGCTTGTGCTTTATCCTGACCTAATTCTGTATTATTTTTTTTGGACGATGATGATTTAAAATTTAAAGTTGTCGTTCTTCTATCCAATGAAACCATTGAACATATAAAAGATCCATTAGACATAATATGCCCAATGGCTTTTTGTCCCATTGGACAGAAAATGATTATAATGATTGAGTCAAAAATTATTACTTACCAGCATAATAATTGCGCACATTCATAATGTGATTTTTTCCATTATTATGTGCTTTCCTTACAGACGATGAGTCTATCAAAAAAATGCCGGTTTAGAAA